GAGCCTAACAGCAGAGAGAGGACGAGGGCCTGAGGGACACGGGAGCTCCCAGCCTTGGGTGCTGCTGAGGAGGAGGAGCTGGGAGGCCAAAGTTAACATGGACTATCTCAGGGCAGGAAGGCTTCTTCCAGGCACGAGGCAGTAGCAACATCTCAGGTTTCCACCACTCCGCTGACAGGCTTGGATCGGGAGGCCGGACCTTCTAATGTAGCCGGGTTCTTTGTGTTGACCCAGGTATGAGCGCGGACGCTGCTGGGGCTGAGCTGCTTCCGGTCAGGTGTTCCATCTGGTCGATGCCTCCAGACCGGCTGCTTCCTCCAAAGGTTGCCGAAGGGCGTCTTCGACTGGTGCACAGCTTTGGGATTCTGAATCTGCTCTGCGGACTTTCTGGATCCTTCCATGGAGGAGGCCAATCTCCCGAGTCCAGCCCCTCTTTCCCTAAGCCATCTTCTCTTGCCCTGCTTGGCGGTCATGGCCTTTCTCCAGGGAGTCCTCCTACTCCCTTCCATTCCTGTCTAGCGCCCTTCCTGAAGCTCTCCCACCTCCGAGTAGCTCCGCTCCCCTCTGCCCTTCTTCTGGGGTCCCACTGCTGCACCCTGCTTCTCTCTACCTGCTGAGCATGACCTCCGTCACAGGGTCTGCCTAGGGCCGCGGCTTAGCCTCCTGAAGCTTGGGCGGCACCTCTTCCGCTGTCTTCCTGTAACCCCTGTGTTCTCACTCCCAGAGTGCACTCCTCTGAAAGGCTGTCTGCCACTCAAGAGTCATGGAACGCTGACAAAAGGCACCAGCCGGGGTTTCATCCCACATGGGGAAGAGACTTCCAATAGGAAGTCAACCACGTGGGCTCTAATTCTTTCTTTTTAATTAAAATATTTTTAGATTTTCATACCATTTTATATGTATGGGTGTTTTGCTTCCAAGTATGTATGTGTGCCGGTGGAGGCCAGAAGAGGATGTTAGATCGACTGGAACGAGAGTTACTGGTGGTTGTGAGGCGCCGTGTGGGTGCTGGGAATCGAACCTGGGTCCTCTGGAAGAGCAGCCAGTGCTCTCAACCGCTGAGCCATCTCTCCAGCCCTGGGCCTCTGATTCTCTACGGACTAGGAGTCTACGTCTTCTAACCATGTGGTTTTGGACAGGCTGGCTCGTTCTTCTGAGGCTCCGAGTTCTCCACAGTGCCGTGAGGACAGGAAACCTCCCTCTTGGTCCTGTGGTGACCAAAGTCTACTACACAGGAAATGTGTAGAATCAGCTGAGTCATTAGTCCACATCGCCAGCCAAGCAAGACACCAAGCTTGGATGGACTTATCAGGCCACTGGGTGGTTTCTGCCGGGTGTGGTCCCGTCTCTAGGGCAGAGGGTCATGCTTTCCGGCTCTACCCAAATCTTCGTGCCATGCTAGACTGACAGTCACTTCATGCAGGGCCCTTAGAAACTGTCAGAAAATTTTAAATATGACAGAAGAAATGGAAGAATCCATAGAAGAAACAGATATATTTAAGTATGGAGGACCCTGCCTGTGATCCCAATACTTGGGAAACAGAATCAGGAGGATCAAGAATTAAAGGCTAACCTGGGTTACATAATGAAGGAAATAAGAGAGGGATAGAGCCAGGGAGAGAAAGAGGGAAGGAAAAATAAATAGATACTTGGAAATATTTTTTCTAATGTCTAACAAAAGTTTCAAACAAAGGGGGGGGCATGACATAGAAAAAAATGCACAGCCTGTAATCCCAGAATTTAGGAGGTAGAGGCACAAGGATCAGGTGTTCAAGGACAGCCTAGGCTATGGGAGAGTCTGTCTCAAAAACCAAAACAACAAAAACCCAAAACAGACACACACACACACACACAAAAAAAAAAAAAAAAAAAAGACATGCTTTTTCATAATTGAAGAAACAGCCTCCTTGGGCGGTGGTGGCGCACGCCTTTGATCCCAGCACTCAGGAGGCAGAGACAGATAGGTCTCTGTGAGTTCCAGGACAGCCTGGTCTACAGGGTGAGTTCTAGGACAGCCAGGGCTGTTACACAGAGAAAATCCTGTCTCAAAAAACCAAAAATCAAAAACGAAGAAGAAGAAGAAGAAGAAGAAGAAGAAGAAGAAGAAGAAGAAGAAGAAGAAGAAGAAGAAGAAGAAGAAGAAGAAACAGTCTCATGCACACTGAGTACTAAGCACGAAAAATTCCTAAGACATTCTGTACCCAGAGGCACGTGAAGCGCTGAAGACACAAGTCTAGAAGCTGGGTAGGAGGAAGAAAAAAGATCCATTATCTACCAAGAATTTCCACAAACCTCTTATCCGAACAGTAAATGCTGGAAGGAAAGCGCCTTTTCCCTTCCAAAGGGCTGAAAGGAATGGCTGAGGTTCTGTTGGGACCCAAGATGAATAAACTAAGATACGGAGAGAAGTTAAGCAACTCTCCCAATTCCAGGAACTCAAGACATGATGTCATGGAAGCTGGCCCCATCTCAGTACTCTCCGCAGCCTAGACCTTCGGGGAATTTAGGGAGAATGCACAGACTAAAAAGGAAGAACCCAGAGCAATGTAAGCTTCAGTAACAACAGCCAAGCCAAATGCTTAACATCGAGAAAACGATAAACTCTGTCACACAACAGAATCCTACATGTGATTAAAACGGGTCGTACCAACGCCATCAGCAGGGATATGCCTCAGAATACTGTGTATCGCCGGGTAGAAGGGTGTGCCTGGATTCCTGGAGCCTTCACTCCAGAGTGGGAAGGGTGAGTGAGGCACTGAGCAGGAGGGAGGGTCTCCCCACAGCTTCCCCTTGGACATTAGATCTTCTCAACAAGTCTGAATGAGGGAGGGAGAGGTCTAATGAGCGGGGTCCAGATGGAAGCTGTTTCAAGGTGCCTGAAAATCTCCATCAACTTCAACATGCGGTTACCAACATGTGGGAGGGAAGGGACCAAAGGACCGCAGCATGGATGTTCAAAACAACTCCCCGATTCGCTGCCCTTCGGCTGCAATCTCTTGGGTCTCACCATGACTAGCTGACATGCAGTGCGTGGTTGAGATGCATTTTCCTGCCTCTTAGAATGGTTAAGAACAAGAGAAGCAGAAACCGAGCCAGGTGTGGGGGCGCACCCCATTAATCCCAGTACTTGGGAGACAGAAACAGGGAAGCCCTGCTGAGTTCCCAGACAGCCAGAGCTACTGTCTCAAACAAACAATAAAAGCAGAAACAAAGAAAGGAAGGAAGAAAAAAGAGAGAGAAAGAAACAAACAAAAAAAGAAACAGAGAGAAAGAAAGAATAGAGATTAATAATGAATCTATGTTTGTTTGGGAGGAGTTATGCCAAAAAGCTTAAAATACCTGCCAGTAACCACCGTCTCTGGAATCTCAACTATGTCTTTGGTTGAAATGCAGAATTTTGATATGCTATCTGCAATTGGCCTGAGGACAGGCAACACATACAAACACAACTTTAATAGTTGAATGGTGAGACAAATCCATACACTTTTGAAATGTGTAGGAGGTTTATGTTTAGATATTGAGGCTGTTTTGTCTAACTTCCTAACCCAACTGCCTGTGTGGTAGAGTCTGGGTCCCCAGTGTCCGTAGGGCCACCATGACCAGGGTGACAGACAAATGCTGTGTGTGATTCCCATGTGCTCCCCTGGAACCCGGGACCGAGTAACTACGGTAATGAGACAGGATGACCTGTATCTCTCTCCTCCGAGCTCCTACCTGAAGGCTCCACTCAGTTGGCACCCAGAAAGCATTGGGTAAATTGTTCATTTAGAGAATGAGTAGATGATGTCATGTTTTGTTTCTGAGTTGAAGTAAAAATTTCCTAATAACCAAGAAATAAAACAGAGCCATGCAGTGATGGCGCACACCTTTAATCTCAGCACTTGGGAGGCAGAAGCAGGAGGATCTATGAGTTGGAGGCCAGCCTGGGCTACAGAGTGAGGTCTAGGACATAAAGAAACCTTGTCTCAAACAAACAAACAAAAAACAAAAAGAAACAAAGGAAGAAAGAAGGAAGGAAAAAAAGGAAGAAAGAGAGATAGACAGACAGACAGAACGGGAAAGGAAGGAAGGAAGGAAGGAAGGAAGGAAGGAAGGAAGGAAGGAAGGAAGGAAGGAAGGAAGGAAGGAAGGCAGGCAATGGTGGCATACGCCTTTAATCCCAGTACTCAGGAGGCAGAGGCAGGCAGATCTCTGTGAGTTCAAAGCCATCCTGGTCTACAGAGTGAGATCCAGGACAGGCTCCAAAGTTACACAGAGAAACCCTGTCTCAAAACAAAACAAGCCAACAGAGAGAAAGAAAGAAAGAAAGAGAGAGAGAGAGAGAGAGAGAGAGAGAGAGAGAGAGAGAGAGAGAGGAAGGAAGGAAGAAATAAGAAAGAGAAAGAAAGAAGCATATGGTGATATTTTATTTGTATTAAAATGTTATTTGTATGTTAATAAATAAAGTTGCCTGGGGGTCAGAGCTATTAGCAAGCCATAGGAAAGCAGGGCAGTGGTGGCGTACGCTTGTAATCCCAGCACTTGGTAGGCAGAGCTAGGTAAGTCTCTGTGTGTTCAGGGATACAGCCAGTATTGGATACACAGGCCTTTAATCTCAATACCCATCACAGAAAACCTGGAGGTCTATACAGACAGGCCATGATGAGGCAGTCATGCGGTTGGGTTTACAACCAATGAGAAGGCAGAACAGAAATACTATAAAAAGACAGACACACAGGAAGTAGCTCTGGTTCGGAGAAGTAGGACTACCTCAGGAGGAAGGGTAAGGTTTTAGCTCTTAGCTCTGACCTCTTGGCTTTCTTCTTTGCATTGGTTCTGTGTTTCTTATTTAATAAGACGGTTGGTTACATCTACAGAAGCAAGCAAGCTTAGGCGCACAGCCCCTCCCCAGGCACTCTGTCTGTCCATCCCCCGGGTATCTGAGAACAGGTAACTTACACAGACAGTTACCCAAAGAGCCTCTGGGAGAAGAAGGCTGCAGCTAAAAGCGGCTCGGTGTGCTGTGAGACCTGCTGCAGGGAGCTGGGCAGAGGGCATGGCCGAGCTGGGAAACCATGACTTGAATGCAGTGTCCTATGATGATGTCCATGCCAACTTCACATGGGAAGAGTGGACTTTGCTGAATCCTTCCCAGAAGAATCTCCACAAAGATGTAATGCTGGAGACCTACAGGAACCTCACTACTATAGGATACAATTGGGAAGACTATGATACTGAAGAACATTGTCAAAGTTCTAGAAGACATGAAAGGGTATATCATGTGTCACTCTGGATACAAGACATATCAGCATCGGGATATGGACATATATCACATACCCCTGTCTCAGAACAATTAGAAGATACATAGCAGTCCCCATGTTGAGGATACTTGTTAAATTTGATTCAAGTAAACAAGTGATTGGTATTCTAGTTTCATTATTAATACATCAATAAACTCACACAGATCTAAAGATTTAAAAAAAAAAAAAAAGCGGCTCTCCAGCAGTACTTGGGGTCTCTTGACTGTGACATCAGCCCTGGGGAATCAGCCCTGGGGAGGTGGAGGTCCGAGAATCAGATCAAGTGATCAACTTCATAGGTTAAGGTCACCCTGTCTCAAAACAAACTAACCACAAAACAAAACAATCAAAACACAAAGCAACTCCACAGCAAAAGCTCCCCTAGCCCCTCAAAAGTCTACAGTCTATTTTTTTTTCTTCTTAGATCCAGAGTATAATTTATGCAGTTATGTGGGATCAGTGACTTTTGTTTTACTTTAAGACAAGGTGAAGCCCATGCTGGCCTTAAATTTGTGATCCTCCTGCCTCAGCTTCCTAAGCACTCAGATTGCAGGTGAGCATCACTACCCTGGTATGTCAGGAATTCTTTCCATAGTTATAGCCCGAAATCTGTCCTTTAGAAATAGCCGTCGCCAAATTACCGTAAAACCATACAACACTGTAGCAACCCAACTATGGAAAACTCTTAGCCTCATAAGTAAGGAAACTACAGTTTTCCAAACTATGAAATCTGAGTAGTCAATTTAGAAATATTTGTATATACATGACACTGTTTAAATTTTTATGTGTAGAGATGTTTTCCCCGCCTGTACGACTGTGCACCACTTACGTGCAGTATCCACAGAGGAAGTTGCCAGATCCCCTAGAATTGGTGTTATAGATGGTTGTGAGCCACCATGTGGGAGCTGGGTATTGAACCCAGGTCCTGTGGAAGGTCAGTCAGTACACTTAACCACTGAGCCATCTCTCCAGCCCCCAAGAGGTGTTTAAATTTGACTTTAGTACAAAGGAAGCGTCATGGCTGCCCAGGCATCTAAATTCCCTGTGTGTTCCTGGAAAGTCCAAAGCCTGTATAATTAATGAATCACTCCATTGCTGTGTACACAGGGATTAAGTATTACATGAACCGGTTTCTAAATCACTTCCAGGAAGACAAAATTCTGGATATTTAAGAAATCACAGTTGGGCCTGGTAGCCAGGGAACAAAGCCAATTGACATTTAAGATCTAGGTTAGACATTCAACCTAGTCTATTAAAACAGATGAACTGTGATTTTTTTAGTTCCAAAGATACATCTAGAACAGCATTGAAAAACTTAGAGAGGAGAATGAGAAACAAAAAACTAATTCTGCTAACACTTTGGAATTATTTCTACTTCAATTTCTCTCCTAACATTTTTAAAATTCTAATTTTTTGTTTGTTTTTTAGCTTTTGTTTTTTTAGACAGGATTTCTCTATGTGTTCCTGGCTGCCCTGGATCTTTCTGTGTAGACCAGGCTGGCCTCAAACTCAGAGATCTGTCTGCCTTTGCTTCCTGAGTGCTGGAGTCACACACAGCTGTAAATCTAAATTTTTAACCTCATTATATATAACTCTTTGTCACCCATTTAATTGAAATTATGTCTTGGGTTACTAAAAAAGCTTTCTAGGGGTCTGGGGGATAGCTTCTCTGCCAGAGGACCTGGGTTTGATTCCCAGTAGCCACATGGCAGCTCAGAACCATTCAAAGCCCCAGGTCCCAGGGATCTGATGTCCTCCTGCCTCTGAGGGCACCAGGCACACCCATGGTGCACGACATATACATAGGCAAAGCATGAAAATAGCTCTTTTTTCTTTAAGAAAAGCTTCTTAGGCCGGGCGGTGGTGGCGCACGCCTTTAATCCCAGCACTCAGGAGGCAGAGGCAGGCGGATCGCTGTGAGTTCGAGGCCAGCCTGGGCTACCAAG